AAAGCATAACAAGGACTTCTGGGGGCCTGGGAATATTCTGTTTCCTGATCTGGTCACATGGGTGTATTCTGTTTGGAAAAATCCAACAAAATCTATAAAATTTTGATCTGTGTTATTATCTGAATGTATATTTTATCTTAATAACAGTTTTAATAAAAGTTACAAAAAATGTGTCTTGGGGGGCAAAAATATATGAACTACTATAATTTCTATCTCATACCAGCACGGAAAGGTAATTTACGTTACAGAGACACACTTTTTAGCAGAGCTGAATATAATATAAATTAAGTTTCAATTGTTTATTTAGGAATTTCAAGGAAAGAAAACTGATCATATGCAATGCTGTATCCTTTCCACTTCACAAATAACCACTGACAGGGCTGAATTTCTGCATGTTCTTCTCGGTCTTAGGTTTTCACTTAAGGAAATACTGATATGACAGACAAATGAATATCAGATTATCTTACCCTGACATATTTCTAAGTAGATGGAATTTATACTTTGAAGAGAACATCATAAAAGGCAGGGGTTGGAAGGACTTCTCAAGGGATATGGCCCTTGATTTCAGAGTAATTTTCTCCTCTAAATTATTTAATCTTCATAATTATAAACATTGCCAAAATGATATTTCAAAAAATTACCTTTAGTAGAGATAATAAGCATTTTCATTTTGAATTAAATCAGGAAAATTTAGAACATGTTAGGTTTTATCAATTTTCCCTATTTATATATATACATATATATATATATATATATGTATTCCACATGTGTGTGTATATATATATTCCTCAATATATATGTGTGTGTGTGTGTGTGTGTGTATATATGTATATTTTCATGGAAGTTTTTCAAATGGCCTTCAAGGGTTATACTCTTAATTAGCAAATAAATACTTAAAAATTAATAACTGTTATAATACATAAAAGAGCATACTTACCACACAGAGGTACAGTGAGAATGAAATTAGTGATCAAGAAAGTAAATTCAATGTAGGAATATCTAAAAATGACTAGTACTGTATATAATATATACATACTCATAAGAACATACTCTCTCACACACATCTTTTATTTCACTGAGGTTTAATATAACAGCCACTAACTTGAAAAGAGCTAATAAGGGGAGGGACACAATAAACATATACATGTGTCCTGGAATGCAGATCTTTTGAGTTTCAAATGTGGGAAATTCAAGGAGAACATACATCTTGAACTTCCAAGCTGAATGTAAATAAGTTTTTTAAAGAGATAGAAGTTAGAATTACTTAGAGAGAAGATACAGTTTTACTACTGACACAATATAAAGATAAGAAGTTCCTACAACAGTTCAAATGGTATTTTATTCATTAAGTCATTCATCATTCAACAAATATTTACTAGGTTCTAGGCACTGTCCTGTGAACAAAGAAAAAATCCTTGCTCTCATGAAACTTAACATTCTAGAAAAGGAAACAACACTAAAGAAGACAGATAAATAAAATATAAAGAATGGTACCAAGTAATATGTGCTGAATTTAAAAAGAAAGCAAAAAAAGGGGGGGGGGATGAAGTAGTGCAGGCAGCAACATTTGTATTTAGTATGGTTAGAAAAGATCTCACTGAGAGAATAACATTCTGGTAAAATGAACTGTAAGACATTTGGTGGAAAAATTATTTCAAACATAGGGTAGGCAAGTGGGCTGATTTTAGGCATTGACTCTTTCAGAAAGCCTTCCTAGACTCTATTTACCCCTGGCTGAGTTTGGTGCCTTTACATGTGTTTCCATAGAATATAACACTAACCCTATCATAATCCTTATTATGCTATACTAAAATCACCTGTTTACATGTTTTCTTAGCTTCTTTCAATAGGAAATTGGTCCATTTACCCTGTATCCCTTGTTCCTATCAGGGTTGGGTATACAAATCAAATATTTGTTGATGAATGATCGATCTTGAACTGGGCTCAAATCTTTGTGGGAAAAAAAAAAAACCTTAATAAGGAGTTGTTTGAAATATTCAGACCTACATAAAAGATGACAGTTCTGGAAAAGCTCTGCTTCTGAATCATTCAGTAAACTTTTCAGATCTTTTATGTCATTAAGGCAATTTAGCCTGAAATTTGTTGGCTCTCTAATTAAATAAAAAAATACTAAATCAAGTTTTACCTAGCCAGAAGCTCCCAGTATACATGACACAGGGGAGATTAACAAGTAATGAACAAAGGGATTTCTTTTTGTTTGTTCTCAGTGCATTACCCACTAAATCTTTCTTCCTTTGTCTTCTCTCCTTAATAAAATAAAGGCCACAGGCAACCAGGAGCAGGTAATCAAAATAGCACACAATGCCTTCCTCTCTTTCCTAACAGTCCTTCCTTCAGTACTTTAGAAAAGAGAAGCCTCGGGAATCAGAGGCTATCAGCAGGTGAGAGCAACAGTCCTTTCAAGTACTTCGATGTCAGGCTAAACTGAAACCGATGAACCAGTACAAATGTTAAAAGGGTCTAAGACACTAGACTCACGCTAGAAAATTCAGATGAGTTAGCGGAAAAGCTTCTAAGTGAAATGTTCGTGTAAAATTATCACATACACCCATATAATTAATTTAAAAAGAAAACAACAGAAAATGAGAATGGCACAAAACTCTTCTTATTTTAGGTTTCTCTAAAGCTTTTTCTTTGACTTTGATGTTTGATTATGTATCAAATTCAATATGTTGATATAGATAATATTATTATAGTATATAAATAAACTTCCTAATCTGTATGCCAGTGAAAAGTTATCAGTATCTTAGGCTTTCAAATTCAGAAAATGAGACTGTGGCAATATGCCCAAATCACAGGACCATGTTTTTAATCATAGATGATTCTAAAAGTTGAAAATGCAAACCTAAAGTAGAACATGGAGTATAACAGTTTTTCAGGAAATATACATTATCTTTTACAATAAAAACACATCCTCACGAGACTGTGGCAATATGCCCAAATCACAGGACCATGTTTTTAATCATAGATGATTCTAAAAGCTGAAAATGCAAACCTAAAGTAGAACATGGAGTATAACAGGTTTTCAGGAAATATACATTATCTTTTACAATAAAAACACATCCTCATATGAATAACAAGCTCATTCGGTAATGTAGTGTCTTCCCTGCTCAGCCTCAAAGTGCATTCTGAAAATACACAGGGTTTCCACTTACAGACCACCCAAAAATACCAAACAATATGTTTGTAGCATTATTTCAGTTAGTTTTGTTCTCTCTTGGGCTGCCCAGCATTAGAACTCCATTTCTATTAGCTTGGAATTTCCCTTGCATGCGTCCTGGACAGAGGCAAGGATTTTACGAAATCAAGAGGACAAGATTTTTCTTCCCGACTGCCTGCTAGTTTGCATGCAACCTACATTTGTCCAACCAGATGGTCCTACTCGGTCTTTCAAGCTAGAAAGAAATAGACTTATGGCAGTGAGTCTGGTTAACAGACAATTAGTGGGTTCTCCTTAACTTTTCACTGCTGTCCCTTCTCCCTTGAAGTCTACCATTTTTCTGAGCCTAGTTCATCAGTCTTCCTTTTTTGTAAGTCCTTTTGATGTTTAAATCAGGTAAAGTTAGGATTTGTTGCTGCAGCCAGGCTGATACCCAAATGGAGCAAGCTGGCTTAACTTTTCTCTCTTGTTTGTAACAACAATTCAGGATTGGGGAGGTAATTGTTTTGTCTGAGTTGCCTCTCTTGAAATCTCTTAGAAGGCTAAACAGAAATAATGCTGATGCAGAAGAATATAACTTCAGAGAGTTGGAGAGTTGACCAAACTTTCTAAAAATTTAATGGAATCCTTAAATGGGTTTAAAGATCAAAAGGAGAGAATGCAATTCAAAAAGTTTTCATTTAAAAGAAAATGCTTCCAAACCCTAGTATGACAGACTCTGCTTAACCAATACTTCTCAATCAGTGACAATTTTGCCACCCAGGGGACATTAGCAATGTTTGGAGACATTTTTAGTCATTACAACTCAAGGAGGGGTGCTACTGGCATCTAGTGGATAGAGGTCTAGGATACTGCTAAATCTTATACAATGTACATAGCCCCCACACAGCAAGGCATTGTCTAATCGAACACGTCAGTAGTGCCAAGGTTGAGAAATCCTGCCCTACACCATCATCTTTCTTTGAACCATATATAAATAAATGCTTCACAGGGTTAGAAAAACTTTCCACAGCCCTCAGTACCCAAACACTTTTATAATTACTTCTGAAAACTTATTTCTACCCTGATGTTAAAAGAGAAAAATCTCATAACATATCTGTCAATATTGTGATCCACCTAAGAACTACACAGATGAGAAAGAACTTTAAGAGCAAATTGAGCAAAGGAAGGAGCTTCTGCAATGAGCTGGAAAGGTCCAAGAGTGTCTGAGGGAATAAGAGGATATCCAAGGTGAAAAAGATTGTGTGCATGACCAAAAATGTTGGGAAATGGAGCTTGGAGGGAATAGATGCTGTGATCAGATTCCAAAGTGTCTTATACACACAGCAGTCTGGTTTTTACTTTATGAATAATAGCAATTTTTCAGGAAAAGATTTTTAAGTAGGGTAGAGAAAAATGTTGTTTCTTAGGAAGAAAACTCTGAGACCATTTTAGGTGACAATCTAACATGAGCCTACCCAGATAATAGGGAAAGCAGAAACTTCTTCAACAGTCCAAGAGCTAAGGAGTGACTGGGCTAAGATGATGGCCATGTATACGGAAAGCAAAGGCCAGAAGAGAATTTCAACGTATTCTTGAGATTTGCTAACCTCTCAATGTAAAATGAGCATCTTTCAAGTACTGTGAAATGTAAATTAAAGGGATAAAGAAAGACTAAATGAGTTAACACACCTGTTTTCATTTCCAGTGTGCATCAGAAAAAAAATATGGTAACATATACCAATGCATTAAGAGAATTAAAGGTTATACAATGAGAATGTATGCTATTTAAGTAATTCCTATATGACTTTCAATATATAGAGAAAGTTCATGATATTACCTGCTCCAGGACTTCTTTATAGGTAATCGTTTCTTTAGTATTTGTAACAGGACTGTCATAGATGATAGCAATCTTATCCCCTCTACCATTTTCAATATGACGATCAATGGCATTGTAACAAATGTTAAGCATTCCTTCCACAAACCTGAAAAATAATTGAAAAGTAAAAGTAAATGATTCCTTTCAAAATACATTGTCGTTTAACTAAGTTACTGTACGAGTATTTCTAGTTTCACAGAGTTGGCCTTAAAACAGTGTTTCCCAGTGCATACTATGCCAGGTAATTATGGCTGCAAACTAGACATTTAAGATGGTTCAGAGTATACAGTTTAATTTTAATAAATATGTATTTATTTTGATGTACACTAGAAAAAAATGCACCTCGCACTTTAAGCTGACAATTTTGTGGATTTTATTACTTAGGATGAACCTAGAGTACAGAGTACCAAAGTCATCTATTTTACATAGATAAAATGAATCACGTATAGTGCAAGGGCATTAGAGATTTGAAAGGGCAAATAGTAGATGCATGACTAAAGTTTTGGTACCTGCTGCAAACAGACAAACTTACTGGAAAATTCAATTCTTCTTTGAAAGGTCCATACAGATTTTTTTTGTTTAAAAACAATGTGATACCTTCAATTACATGAAGAATACATAAGGTCTTTTCTTCATGTCTGAAATGCTTCATAATTTAAATAAAGAATGGACATTATAGTGGATTGAATTATGTCCCCCCAAAACTCATTGGAGCTTTAATTGTGTCCCCCAAGTTGTATGTATTTGAAACTTGGCCCCCACTGTGATTGTTAAAGAGGGTGGGAAATCCTATTATGGTAATTGAAAGGTGGAGCCTTGAAGAGGTGATTAGATTGTAGGACCATGCCTAGGGAATGGATTAAAAATGGTGGTCAGGGTTGTGATTCTGAGGGCTTTTCAAAGAAGACAGAGAAGAGTCTGTCTCTCTTTCTCTTGCTCTCTCTGCTCTGCTGCCTAGGGAATGGATTAAAAATGGTGGTCAGGGTTGTGATTCTGAGGGCTTTTCAAAGAAGAGAGAGAAGAGTCTGTCTCTCTTTCTCTTGCTCTCTCTGCTCTGCTGGTTTTGCAATGTGATACTCTGCCATCATTGAAGTCACCACCAAAGAAAGCCTTCACCAGTTGTGTTCTCTGGACTTTGGGCTTTCTAGCCTCAGAAACTGTAAGCAATAAATTTTGTTTTCTTTCTAAATTACCAAGTTCTAGGTATTTTGTTATAAGCAACAGCAATGGACTAATACAGACACACACACAAAATGTTCATTAATTTTTAAACACCTTGGCATTTCAGTACTCTTCATCTCTTAATGGATCAATTCCTTCCTCTGAAAGCACAGACATCATGTAGATACAGGCAGAAACTCAGCAACAGCAATGGACTAATACAGACACACACACAAAATGTTCATTAATTTTTAAACACCTTCGCATTTCAGTACTCTTCATCTCTTAATGGATCAATTCCTTCCTCTGAAAGCACAGACATCATGTAGATACAGGCAGAAACTTTTTAAGGACATATAGCTCATTTTTCCAAAAGAAAAAGGTTTGTATTTGCTACTTTTTAGGAGGAGGGGATTTAAAAAATATATGCAAGAACAGTAACAGACAATTTCTTCCAGTGTTAGACTATCAAATATTATAACAATGTTAAGTAACAGGAAAAAATATAACAAGCAAGAAGAAAAGTCCTTTTAGTAGCTGAGTATCAACTTCAGGTTTTCAACTAAAGAGCCATGAGTAAAATGAAGCAGTTAAAAGCAGCCATAGATACAGTGGCAGCACTAAAAATAATAGTTACAGAAGGCAGCAGGAGGAGGGATTGTCTTATCAGGGTCAAGTGACCCTGTACACTTCAATAATTCTGAATATGAATGCCTACGTCATAGCACAAGAAGTAATTAATGGTTCTGCATTTCCAGCTGCAATAAATCTGATATTTGTTCAAAAATATCACCTCTTCCTTTCACTCTACTTCCATCAAAAATATTTTGTGTCTTCCCTTTGGACCTCATCCTTGAGTGGAGACTATGTCTCTTGATTTGGGACTCATCCGTGTGCTTATCAGCAGAGATGAAGCAAGCAGAGGCTTGCAAAGCTCTTGCATAATTGGGCTTGCTCTCCTGCACCTCTACCTTCTTCAAGAGAAGAGCCTCCAGAGTATAACTGTTCCCGTCCTTACCCTGGCACCTCGAATGAGCATTTACAGGCTGGAACAGAACCCAAGAAAAGCATGGAACCCACCCAGCCCAACAGCATAAATGTCTTGAAGCCACACACCTAGCAACAACCATCCTAGATTAGCTGACTGCATGACAATCTGCAGTTACTCAGAAATAACTACTGAATACGTCAGGTTGAGGAGACTCTTGTGGTTACTTGTTATGCAGTATAATTTTGGTCAAAATTAACTAATACACCAATAAAAAGGTAAAGTTGGCTCAGCATTCTGTGGCAGAAATTAGGAAAGATGTTTTATAGAACTTCCCACAAAAATATTTATTCATTTTTGAGTTTTTATTTATTTATTTTTCCTGAAAAGAACACATTTCAGACACGTGGACTATTTACTTACTGGAACTTCTCGATGATATCGTTATTCTCTTGTCCTTTAATCTACGACTCCTATTCTACCACTCTTTGTGCTCAGTATTTAATTATGCTCATAACATTCCTCAAAAAAAGAAAAAGGCTCCCTCAATTCCAGAGATTCATAGAGAACTCACTTTATCATCTGCCTTATTGTTCTCCTACCTCTTTACTTGCTCCTTCCCAGTATCTTTTGAGGAGTCTCTTCTGCCCCGTCTTTAACTGGCTGGGATCCCTCGCATTCTATATGCGTCCCTTTGCTCATGCTACACTCTCTCCCTGGGTGACCTTTATACTCCTATGGTTTCGACTTCCCTCTTCATCTCGTTCCTGAGCTCCATACATTTACAGCTAACAGTCTGCTGGACATCTCTACTTGGAAAGAATAACATGTCCCAAACTGTAGTCATTTCACCCCACCTCCACCCCACAGCCCCACGCCAACTACAAACCTGCTTCTCCTCTTATTTTCTTTCTTTTTTTCTTTATTGCTGGCCAGCGTGAGGATGGAACCCTGGACCTTGGTGTTATCATTCTCATCTTACTTTCTATATTTCATGGAACCATGTTGCACCTGGTGGCCTAAATTAGAAACCCAGAAGTCATACTTGGACCCTCACACTCTGCATCCAATTAGTTATATGTAATGTCACATCTGCCATTACTTTCTCTGTAATTTTTGGTTCTCTCAGTGATCACCGATTTACAATGACCACCTCCTTGATTAGGAATCATTAATCTGATCCCATCCTCTCAGGCCATATCCCAATTCTGCTAGAATGTCTTTTCTCAATGTAAATATTATCATATCAAATGGTTCTCAAAATCATTTAATACCTTTCCATAAAGTTCAGGACAAAAGATATCTTTAGATGACACACAAAATTCATTCATCTACTCAGCTTCATTTCCCGTCATCCAACTTTGCACAATCCAGCTATACTAAATTACAAAATTTGCAATCCCTTAAATTCAATCAGCTGCCATTTCTGTGGCTGTCCTTCACCTTCACCACGACCTTCTCCCGGTGGTTCCAAAGCTCTGTGTTCATATCTCTGCCATAGTACTTACCACACTTTGCTAACAATCGGTTCACTTACTTAGATGTTTCCTTCATTATACTGCAGTCTGCCTGAGAGTAGAGACCATGTCATATTCTCCTTGATGTCCTAGGATCTACTATGGCACTTTCCATATACTAGGCACTCAATACATTTTTGACAAATGAATGAATGAAAATATTAGCAGGCTTTCAAGAAGCATGTATTTAGAATCCAAGTAGACTAACCAGAAATGTTTTTGCTCTTCCATTTTAAAGTCAAGAGAATAGAGACTTAAAAAGAGTGACACCCAGAGCGTTTGGTTATGAATTGGAGAAAGCCATACCTGAAACCAAAGTCTTTAGACATCTGGACTGGTGTTCTAGTCCACAACATTTTTATTCATTCAGTCACTTATAAATAATGAGTTTTTCTATCCTCAGCTTCACCAACTCATTGCTCTTTCATTTCCACTCTACTGTTGAGCCCATTCAGTGGGTTTTTCATTTTGGGTATTGTATTTTTAAATTCTAAAGTGTCCATTTGGTTATTCTTTATATATTTTATTTCTTTGCTGAGGATTTCTTTTTCTTTATTAAGACTTTTAAAACATTTGTTTCAAATGTGTTAAAATTGCTTATCGGAGCATTTTTTTTATGATGACTACTTTAAAATCCTTGTCAGATAACTCCAAACTCTGTATTATCTCCATGCCCACATCTATTCTATTGATGGTTTTTTCGGGGTTCTTGGTATAATCAGTGATTTGGGATTCTATCCTGGACATCATGGGTTTTACATCATGAGACTCTGGGCTTATTTAAAGATCTGATTTAAATCTGTTTTAGCATGCCTCCTCTGATGCTGTGTTGGTGGGGGAGGGAGGCATCTCATTACTACCAAGTGTAGGTGTAGGCCCCAGTTTATCACTAGACCTCACTGACACTCCTTGGGCTGAGAGGTCCTCATTAGTGATGGGCTGAGGTGAAAGTTCAGGCTCTCACTAGGTTTCCACACCATACTGTAGAGAATAGGAGGAGCTCCCCACATGCCTCCACTGACACTGCTGGATGGGAGAGCCTCCTTATCGCGTTACCTTAGCCAGAATGAAAATTGTGACTCCCCACATAAACTTATCTGACACCGCCAGGGGAGGTGGCAATGTCTGGGGCACCTTGTTACAATCTGGCAAGAGTAGAAGTCTAGAATCTTCACCAGGCTTTTACTGGTGAGGCTAGGATTGTGGCCACAGTTTTTTTTTTTGTAGTGCTTGGCTAGAATAGGGTGGTTATTATCTAAAAGTTTTCTGTCTTACTAGGCTGTCTCTTTCTTGGTTCCTTTGCCACAGAAAGAGGGTTTGTTGGAGCATTTTTGAGTCTGTGCTTACTGGTGTTTCTGAGTTGCAAACTTCTCCAGCCCCAAGTCTGGGATATACGAGACAAAAAGAAAACCCAGGGGACTTATTGCCATGTCATTCCTCATGTCCCCAAATTCCTAGGTGGTTGACCGTCTCTCTACCTTTCAAAGTATTCTTGTGTGTGCTTGATATGTAATGTTCCAGGTTTTCGACTGTGTTTAGCAGGATAAATAGGGAGAAGTGTATTTTCTCCATCTTGTCCTGAAATCTGAAGTCCCTAAATAACATTTATTGAACCCTTACTCTAGGCCGAGACTTCATATGTAGTAACGCATTTAATAAAAAATAACACTTTGTTATCAGGTAGGTATTATTATTAATCCCACTTTACATACATATTGATGACAATAACTTGCTCAAGGAATCCTGATTGCAGAACCAAGCCCTTAAACATTATATGACACTACTAATATAGGCAATATTCAAAGAACTTAGTTTGTTTTCAATTGTTTGCAAATTTGGGGTAGTTTCATGTTGAAATTACTAACCCTCTTTTGGGGTTTTTTGTAGTATCCTTAAAGAAATCTTTTAAAATTTAAGGATACCCTTTTGGGCAGGGAGGAAGAAGATCCAAATGGAGGGAAGGGCTACAAGCAGTGTTAAGAAGAATTGTTGCAGGAGATAATAAATCGGCATGGCTTCAGAGGCAGCTACAGGTAATGAATACACCAACAAAAATTGACTAAACTCAGAGATTGGTTTACTGTGGATGACTCAGCCAAGTGACCTGGAAGGGGCCTCCCAGCTCAAAGATTTGATTATTCTACTATGACAAGATTCTTATTTCATTTTAAATCAAATCATTTCAGTAAAGGTCAATTGAATGCCTTTTATGCACTGTCTCTCCACTGTCCCTTCTATATTTGTGGGCAGGTTTTAAATGGTTTTTCTCTTCAGATTATAAAAAATAACTAATGCTCACTGTAGAAAACTGAAAAACATACTTCAGAATTTTTTTTTATTCTCTCTGTATGTAAACAATATTATTGTATAGACAATTTAATATTCTGGCTCTATGTTTAGGATTACATTATAAGCTTTTTCCAAGGGAAGAACAAATTCTTAAAAATCATGTTTAATGATGTTATAATATTCCATTCAACATCTGTTCAATAATAATGTGAATCTTGCATTGTTGCAAATTGCTTTCAACAACATTCCCATTACTTTAAATGATCCTGGGATGATATTTCTTGTAGAGAAATATTGGTCACATTATTTTTTGTGTTACATTTGCAGGCTAAATTTCTATAATCAAACACACACACATTAAAATTCAATAATCAAGTTGCTTTTTGGAAATATTGAATCAATTTATATTACCATCAGCATTATCTGATGTCCATTTCATCACACTTCTTCAAACAGATTATTTTCAATCTTCTTCAATTTAAAAAGTGGAAAATTATTTTAATTTTGTTTCTTTAGTTACTAATATTGATTAAATACAATGTCTTACCAATGTTTAAAAGCTCTTTATATAGGATATTGAACTTATGTCTGACATTGTTAAATGATTTTCTGTATTCACTAATTTTAATTCATCATGTTTCCTGATATGAAAATATTTTAAATTTGTATGTAGTCAAATGAATTCACCATTTTCCTCTGCAATGTCTTTCCCTAAGATAATTTACACAAGGATACATCAAAAAATTTTTGGAAAAATAGAATTGAAAGATAATATGAATCTTCTCAAATATTTTTGAAGTACTTTCATATCCTCTCTTCTGATTTATCTTTTATATTGTTCTCTTAAGTGTTCCAATAATTAATTCATATGCATGTATATGTGATCTGTAGCAATATCTGTTATTTGTTATACATTACACATATGCATTACGTTATATATGTGTGTATATACATTATGATGTGGAAATATATTTATATTTGTTTGTTTATCAGTAGTCAATTTTCCAAGTATTATTTTACTATTTTATTATTTTGTTGGTAGCTGGCCAGTACAGGGATCAAATCCTGGACCTTGGTGTTATCAGCACCATGCTCTCAACAAATAAGCTAACTGGCCAGCCCCTCCCAGCATTAATTTTTGACTAATCCTTGCTGTCCTCATTCATTTGTGATACTCCAGTCTTCCTATACGTATTGGCATCTAATATATACCAGAGTCCTTTTCAGGGTTGTATAGTTTCTAAATGTAACTACTGGAATGTTCTGTCAGTAAAGTCTTATGAATAGCTCTCTCTTTGAACTCAGCCAATTTTCAGTTCTGTTGAAGATAGGAAAGACTTCATATTCTTTATCTTACTCCAATCCCCACAAAAATTTTTTCCATAGAAAATTTCAAGCAATCTAAATGTACTCCCAGCCCATTCGAATAACAGAAAAATTATCTATAAAACTGATACTAAATTAATAGCAATAGTGGAACAACTGGTAATGGTGCCATCATCAGTCCAGAGCAGTGACTAATTTCTGGATATATAAACAGGCATGAGAAGAATGATTGCTACATCCAGAAGTTATGGGAGACATGGTAGATCCAAGTATACTGATACACAAAAATGATTTCCATGATATTTTATATGTTGGTAAGTTAGAAAAAGAAAGAAAGGAATAGGTGTAGAAAAAATTATACAACCCAAACACAGAATACTCTACATTCATGAAGAATCTATAAACCCTAAGCAGGTAATAAACAGGCCCACAAAAATCCCAACAACAACAGCAGCAACAAAAACTCTCTCATTAAAACTCTAAACTAACTCCAAGATCAGAGGCATATGAATTAAAAACAGGTCATGGGTGTCTGGATAGATAATTGAGACGTAAGCCATACACATTCCTCCCTCCCCCCACACTCACACACACATGCACATCACACAAACTTTTACTGGCCTAGAATGTAACTTTGCGAGATGAGAGACTTTTTGCATGAAGAATCTTATAGAAGATGTAAGACTGGTAGAAGAGGAACAAGGCTCTATATCTTTGGAAGCCTAGAAACCCTCAATAGCATTGCTGCCTGGAAATCTCCTCTCCTCCTTCAATCTTTCACAGGAAGAAGAACTCTAGTAATCAAAATCTGCATTCTCTGATGAGTGAAGAAAGACCCTTACTCAGATTCTGAAATGCACTCCACTCAGCTACCTGCATCTTGACACAGATGAATGCATGTGTGTGCATATACACGCATATATACATAAATAGAGATAGATGGATGGATAGATAGATAGAAAGACAATATAAAGCCGGGGTGTGGAGTGAGCATATTTTCAACATACCTAACAAGGTTAAAGGTATATTTGCAACTTTAATAATATTTAAAGTGTTCCTATAAATCAATAAAAAAAAATTTAAAAATCCAATAGACAAGGAATCTCAGCACAATATCTATTGACAAAAGAAAATGAGAATGGCCAAGAAGTATAAAAAAATGTTTAACCTTACTGTCAGGAAAATGACCATTAAAATAAAAATGAAATGCTATTTCTATCAGATTGATATAAAGATGTAATACACATTGTTGGTGAGAATAAAGAGAAACCAACACTCTGATATAATGTTGGTGAGCAAATACATTAGTTAAGCAATTAGGAGGGCTCATAATCAGTATGTCCTAAGATTTTAAATTTACATCATGTAATACAATGCAATTATTAAAAAAATGAAAAAACATTACATGAAACAATGTCCAAAATGAACTTCTAACTTAGCCACATCAAGTTGCTTGTGTGCATATCTAAGTGTTGTATAAAAACATAAGAGGGAGTATGGAAAAATGTATGAGAAAATATTAATGGGAGTAAATTCTGAGTAGAAGAAAAATTGGGGGGCAGTAATGGAGAAGGGTCTACTTTTTGTACAACAAAATTTCTGTGTCACTTGGTTTTTATGAGCATGTGTTTATGCATTGAATGGATGGTTTAAGTATTTTCAGACAAAAAATATAAATTTTAATGGTTTAGCTTGCTTGTCTTTTGGTCTGAATGAATCATCAACTTATAGTCAGTATAATTACCATCAAAGAAAAGTATTTTAATTTAGTAAAAATACCATTTTTGAATTTTCTTCTGGTAAAATGAAGCATTTCTTCCATTTGTAACAACATCTAAACTCAGTTTTAAGAAATCAGAATGTGGGACATAAAAATTTTGTTTCTTTATATTTATGTTTCCCACCAGAATCAATCTCAAGCAGTTGAACAGCCAATAATAAATGGCTACATAGAAGCTTCAAATTACAAAGAGAAATCTGCTATGAGTTTGTGGTATTTCTTCCATTTGTAACAACATCTAAACTCAGTTTTAAGAAATCAGAATGTGGGACATAAAATTTTTGTTTCTTTATATTTATGTTTCCCACCAGAATCAACCTCAAGCAGTTGAACAGCCAATAATAAATGGCTACATAGAAGCTTCAAATTACAAAGAGAAATCTGCTATGAGTTTGTGGTTGTCATTCCTGCTGCCCACCGCAATTTTGGTTGTCCTCCAGGCACTTCTAAGACTACACTTTTATACCCATGTGAAATGAGGCATGGCCATATGGCTTGCTGTAGCTTGAGATATAGAAGTAACCAAAGCAAAGCATTCTTCAAGAGCCAGTGGGTGCTTACCACATTTTCTTCTCCCTGCACAAGGACCAGTAACATTCCAAATGGTGACTGCACCATCATGCTATATCCCTGAGTGAGGACAGGTGACACAAAGCAAATCTCCTGAATAACCCAAGATAAACTTGTAAGATAACTGAGAAATATCTGGGCTATTCTAAACTGGGAAGATTTGGGGTTTGTTTATTTCCACAGCAAAACCTAGTCTATTGTGAGAGATACAAAAGTATTTACATTCATGAATATTGGCAAATTTAAACAAACTTTAAATTGGCATATTTTATAATTTAAGAGGCAGAGGGATGCATTCCAGGACAAATAAAATGGGAGAAATCTTAGCTTCTGTAAATACATAGTCATTACTTTTAAGTTAGATGTCCTTGGAAAGGTGTAAGCATCTGAGCTCTCAATGGTAGGGTGGAGGGTCTTCCTAAGGGACTCGGTAAAGAAGAAAGCTCTTGAAATTCCTTTGGGACTTCTTATTACACATAATTTTCAATTTTCCTGTGCCACCTTCTCATTAACTCCTGTTAACTTACATTCAGAATAAAAGCTTGGATTCAGCCCCATGGAGAAAATCTTCCTTGAACTTGATTTCTTCTGCTCTTCACCGTAGCCTACTCTGAATATCCTGTTGGTCCTAAAATTTACTTTATTCCATCCTGTATTTGAGTTTGGCCTTTTTAACAAATAAGTTAGACTTGGGCTTGTATTTGGCTCATATACTGGGCTCAGTCAATGAAGGTGGGTGGGTATCTACAGGGTTTTTAAGAGGTAGGGGGCCTGACAAGTTCCACGGTCTTGACCTTTGGTTGCCAGAAGAAGCTAGTATCATATGTTCACATGATTCTTCCATCAATTTCCCATCACCACCAATTTCCAACCTCCCTTTGCTGAGAGTTAAAACTTTGTTATTTGTGTATGTATTTGTTATTTAAACATTATAAAAGGCAATAAAACTCTGACACTAAAAAAAAAATGTCTTTTCCAGTGGGGGAAATAGATAGCATTTAATCTATTGATTTGATTATCTAGGTACAGATAGTTTAATTCGTAAAGTCTAAAATGTTTCTCTTGGCAGACCCCACCACACGGCAGAAGGCAGGAACATGCTGAAAACACCATTTCCATATGAGTGGCCCACCACAGCCATGGCCACCACAAAAGCAGCTTGCCACTACAGTTGCAGCCATACCCACCATGCAGGTGGCCAGCCAGCCACTCAGCTGCATTGCACAGAACAGTCACCAGCAGAGACCAGAATATGAAGAGGAAGTCTCTCTCCTCAGGGTCCACTAAAGAGTAACAGGAGTAACTGCTCTACAACATGACAAGACATCAACATAGAGACACTAGAAATACGAAAATCCAAGAAAATATGACAACACTGAAATAATACAATAATTCTCAAATACCAAATCCTATAGAGCACAAAACCCTTCAAATGACTTAAAAGGAATTCCAAGCAACAATGTTATCCTTGAAATGACTGGACAGGATTTCCAAGCAACAATCTTAAGGAAAATCAATGAGATTTGAGAAGAGTAAGTTAGACAACATAATGAAATGAGAAAAAAAAGTCCAGGATATAAAGGAGGATGTTTATAAAAAGATTAATACTTTTAAAGACACACAGAACTCATGGAAGTGAAAGATTCATTTAATATACTAAAAAACACAACCAAGAGCTTAAGCATCAGGGTAGAACAAGCAGAAGAAAGAATTTCTGACTGAAAGATAACCTAAGTAAACCAGGCTTCCTAAGTAAACCAGGCAGGAAAAAAAAAAACAAAAACAAAAACAGGAAGAAAGAATTTTAAAAAGTAAATAAAATCTAAGAGAGCTAACAGATAGCCTTAGCCACACAAACATTTGGATTATGAGTGTTCCAGAGGGTGAAGAGAAAGGAAAATGTATTGAAAACCTTTTTAACAAAATAACAATGAAAACTTTCCAGGTATAAGGAGAGACACAGGCCTTTATTTTTTATTTTATTTATTTTTGTGTGTGTGATCGGTAAGGGGATCGCAACCCTTGGCTTGGTGTCACCCACACCACGCTCAACCAGTGAGCGCCCTGGCCATCCCTATATAGGATCCAAACCTGTGGCGCCACTGCGCTCCCAGTGCTGCACTCTCCCGAGTGAGCCACGGAGTCGGCGAGACACAGGCCTTTAGATCCAGGAGGTTCAAAGATCCCCAAACAGATTCAACCAAAAAAGACCATCTCTAATGCACATTATAGTCAAATTGTCAAAGATCAAAGACAAAGAAAGAATCCTAAAAACAGCCATAGAAAAGTGTCAAGTCACCTATAAGGGAGCTACTGTCAGACTAACAGCAGATTTCTCAAAAGAAACTTCACAGGTCAGAAGGAAATGGGATGATATTTTCAAAAAAAAAAAAAAAAAAAACTACCAACCAAGAATACTATACCTAGCTAGGTTGTCCTCAGAAATGAGGGAGAAAGAGTGAATTTTCCAGAAAAACAAAACCTGCAGGAGTTCAACACTTCACAAAAAGCCCTGCAAGAAATGCTCAAGGGAGTCCTGCATCTAGAATCTGAAAAACAATAACCACTAGCATTAATACACATGAAAGAGCAAAACCCACTGGTAAGAAAAAAATGCCAGCAAGAAAAAGAAAGAAACTAAATCATGTCACCTCAAAAATCAGCATGCATCAAAGACAAACAATAAAAAGGGAAGAAAGGAATGAAAGATATTTAAAACATCCAAAAAAAATCAATAAAATGCCAGGAGTAAGACAATACCTTCCAAAACAACCGTAAATGTAAGTAGATTAAGCTCCCACTCAAAAGACAAAGACTGTCTGACTAGATTAAAAAGCTATACCCAACTATACACTGTCTTCAAGAGACCCATCTCACCTGTAAAGACACACAAAACTAATATTGAAGGAATGGAAAAAGATATACAATGCAAATGGAAATCAAAAACAAGCAGGAGTAGCTATTCTTACACTGGATAAAGTAGACTTTAACCAAAAACCATAGCAAGAGACAAAGAAGGCCACTATGTAATGATAAAGTGATCTATCCAGCAAGAAGATATAACATTCATAAACATATATGCACCCAACACTGAATCACACCATTATACCTAAAGAAAGATATAGACCCCAATACGGCAATAGTAGTGGACCCGTACACCCCAGTCTCAGCACTGGATAGACAATCCAGGCAATAAACCAACAAAGAAGCACAGAATTTAAACTACACATTGCATCAATTGGACCTGGCAGATATCTACAGAACATTTTATCCAACAACTGCAGTATATACGTTCTTCTCATCAGTACATGGAACATGATTGAGGATAGATCACATGTTAGATGACAAATCAAGTCTCAAAAATTGAAATCATTTCAAACCACAACATGTTAAATTTTTACATTTTCAAAAATTGAAATTATTTCAGACCACAACAGATTAAAACTAGAAATCAATAACAAGCAAAACTCAGGGAAGTATACAAACACATGTATATTAAACAACATGCTCTGGAATGACTTATGGGCCCAAGAAGAAATTAAACAGGAATTCAAAAAAAGTATTGAAACTAATGAAAATAAAGACACATCATACTAAAATCTGTGGGATACTCAAAGGCAGCACTCAGAGGGAAGTTTATCTCAACAAACACTTACATGAAAAGAATAGAAAAGATTCCAAATAAACAACCTAATGCTACACCTCAAAGAACTATAAAAACAAGAACAATCTAATACCAAAAGTAGTAGCAGAAAGAAATAAGATCAGAGCAGAACTAAATGAATTAGAGACTCAAACAATTATACATAAGATCAATGAAGCAAAAAGTTGGGTTTTTTGTATTTGAGAAGATAAACAAAATAGACAAGTCATTAGCTAGGCTAACTAAAAAAAGAAGAGAGAAGACCCAAATAACAAAAATCAGAAACAAAAAAGGGGACATTACAACCAATACCACAGAAATACAAAACACTTCAGACTGGGGAAAGACTTTATGAACAAGACCCCAAAAGCACAGGCAGCAAAAGAAAAAATAAATGGAAGTGAGGCCACCAGAGGTGAGAAAGGGAGGGGAGGGAAAGTGGAGGGAGGTAAGGAGAAATTTGTAAAATTCGTAAAGGGCCACACACAAAAAATGTTTACATTGTGTAATGAAAAAACAACAAAATAAATTTTAAAAAACCTTTTAAGTAGATGTAAAGTAATAAAATAAAATAAAATATTTCTCTCAATTCCTCTATCCCCTCCTATTCCAAGAATAAAACTTAATATACTTTTAATATTGTGGCCTATGATATAAAACTCTTTCAGTAACTGCCATATTTCATTTTGCATGAAATAATTATTGAAAGTTCCTCCAACACAACAATATGTTTTTCTTAAATTTTATTTTGTCAATATGCAATGTGGTTGATTATTGTGGCCCATTACTGAAACCTCCCTCCCTCCTCCGTCTCCCGCCTCCCTCCCAAAAATCTCCTTTCTGTTTGCTTGTCGTATCAATTTCAAAGAATTGTAATGGTTATGTCTTCTTCCCTGCCCCCACACCCAGGTTGTTTGTGTATTTATTTTTTTTATTTTTAGCTCCCACAAATAAGTGAGAACATGTGATATTTCTCTTTCTGTGCCTGACTTGTTTCACTTAATATAATTCTCTCTAGGTCCATCCATCTTGTTGCAAATGACAGTATTTCATTCTTTTTTATAGCAGAGTAATATTCCATTGTGTAGATATACCACCGTTTCCATATCCACTCATCTGATGATAGACATTTGGGCTGGTTCCAACTCTTAGCTATTGTAAAGAGAACTGCAATGAACATTGGGGAAAAGGTATACCTTCGGCTTGATGATTTCCATTCCTCTGGGTATATTCCCAGCAGTGGGATAGCTGGGTCATATGGTAGATCTATCTGCAATCGTTTGAGGAACCTCTATACCATTTTCCATAGAGGCTGCACCATTTTGCAGTCCCACCAACAATGTATGAGAGTTCCTTTTTCTCCGCAACCTCGCCAGCATTTATTGTTCAGAGACTTTTGGATATT